TATATATATAGAACAAGGTGGCTCTCCTTCCTTATAGGCCTTTATCCTCTGACTCCCTGTCAGATGAGGCAGATTTAGAAGTGCCAGAACCTGWTTTATGTTTGGATTGTTTTTGTCCTGTTGAGCTCCTTGAGCTTTCAATCAACCTCCAGTCTCTGTCTGTCAAGCTGACACTCTGTTTTCAAGACTAGACTAAAGACTTTCTTTTTTGATAAACCCCAGGGTTGGCTTCCTGAGTTATCCCTTGGTTCTGCTGCTTTAGGCTTAAACTACTGGATTACAGGCTGACCACATTTCCTCACTCTGCTGCTGTCTTTAGTCACTTTCCTCTACATGTTTGTTGTAATTCTATCAGTAACATGTTTTGCTTCGTTTCTCTTCCTGAGGAAAATACACCTGGACTGGTCATTCTGGGTTTTTTTGTTTTTTGTGTGTGTGTGTCTCTTTTGCCCCCCCCCCCCCCCCAAACCCAGCCAGTCAAGGCAGATTGCCGCCTGTCTTGAGTCTAGTTCTGCTGTAGATTTCTTCCTGTTAAAAGGGAGCTTTTTCTTTCCACTGTCACTAATGTGCTGCTCAGGAGGGGAGACTGTGACAAAGTGATTTAACATGATCTGCTGGCTTCTTTAGATTGACTGTTTGTGTACAGCACCCTGAGACAAAATTTGTTGTGACTTAGCGCTAAATGAATAAACTTAATTGAATTTATTTGAATTATTGGTACTGGTCCTTAGTACCAGGGCATTTTGTATGAATACATATATTTAAAAAATACTAGTGTTGGGCCCAATACCAACATCTTTATTGGGTCACCACTAACAGAAGCCTTTTCAGGGTTTGATACAAAAAGTAATCAGTCAAATTCTGTTCAGTTTATTTAAAATTTTAAATGGCTTTGTGTACTGGAAAAAACATGTATTTATCTATTATTCAAAATAATTAAATCAATAMAAACCTTGTTTTAACATATTATGCCGTCATAACAGTAAATCACCATTGTATCAGAGCAAAGCCTTCATTTAAATATTTAATGCAATATTTATAAGTCTTATTTAGCAGCAATTACCTGCAGGAAACCCCAACAACAAAGAGAGAGATTGCCACCATGTCACACTTGTTCCAGTTGTCCTCTACATAAAGTTTAAACTTCTTCAGGATGTTCATCTCTTCATCTGTGAAGAAACTCTGTCGTACAAAAGTTTTTGCTTTAATATAATGAATAAATCTGCTTGTTCATAATTGAAAACCATTAATAATTTAAGAAGCCCTTTTCCACCTAAGCCACAGACACGGCCTGCAGGGAGCGAGTCGGTACACTGCCTTGCTGCTTTCAAGGCACATGGAGAGTCCCAGATTCTCAGCTCTGTGAAATTCCCGTWATGCAGAGAATCTAAGGTCAAGCTGTCTACTGTGGTTTGAACAGGCCACCTGTAGGTGCATTAAGAACCACTGCCTGTTCCCTTAATGGGCCTGTCTGCTTGACGACAAGCTGAGGGCAGCAGGATGCTTTCAGAGAGACTGATGCACAGACAGATGGACAGAAAGATAAAGGCACAGGGGGCTCGACTGGGCTCATGCAAAATCTGCCTGCAACTTGTGCTGCACACATTGGTTGCAGCACTTAGAAATAAAAAAATGTAAGGGACAGCAGTGGTCTCATATGGGTTCTCCGTGGCCCCTAGGGAGCAGGGCTCAACTGGATCACTGCAATAAGGGATCAGACTTATTTGACCTGGCTCTTGGAGAGCRAGTAATGCAGAGAGATGAGAAGCTCATGAATCCTTAAAACCCCAGAGAGAATGGGTTCACTCTAGCGAATCACATCATCGCCTACTCAGATGTGTCTGACTTGTCTGGACTGAAAACTGTAGCATATCTAATCAAAGGGCTGCTTTCTTGCAAAACTGCCTCRGTGAGTTTATTATTATTTTTAACAAGGGCGTCATACATAAAAATGGGCCAACTTTAAGCTTGTTTGAAAATATGAAAAAAGACACATCAGAGATTTGTTGAGACTGGATGTTTTTTTTTTTTTTCATTTTCACCTGTCGAATTTCTTCCAGCACCAAGGTAAAGACCCAGAAGTAGAGCATTATCTCAGGAGCCCCGGGTCCGAGAGGTGGCGGTGGGCGGAAGTCTAGCAGGAGCACGTAGGAAAAAAGACACATCAGAGATTTGTTGAGACTGGATGTTTTTTTTTTTTTTTTCATTTTCACCTGTCGAATTTCTTCCAGCACCAAGGTAAAGACCCAGAAGTAGAGCATTATCTCAGGAGCCCCGGGTCCGAGAGGTGGCGGTGGGCGGAAGTCTAGCAGGAGCACGTAGGTGAAGAGACAGAGGAAGGCGAAGTACATGATCACATTGCCGAGGAACACGGTGACAGGAGCACTCCAAAAGCGACGCCAGCGGCGGAGCAGGAAGCGCCACCAGACAGTGGCACAGCTCTGAGCTTCAAGACTTCCAGGTGTGGTGTCCCTGAAAAATAAAGTGTGGAAAAAAAAAATAAAAATAACTTTTCAAGAAAACTTTTTTCTTCGTCTTTTTATTTTTTTTTACTGCAACATTATATATATCAAACAATAAAGTTCATTTTAAATTATATCTATTTTGCATATTTATGTAGATATATTTTAGAACATAAGAACCAGAAGTGAGGACAATAAGGTTTTGTTTAAACTTGTATATTATAGCATATTATGGCATGATCTGAGTACATGCTGTGAATAACTTAGCTAATACCATGCCCAGTTTGAATGTAAAATGTGGAAAACTGGCTGGGCTATAGCCATTTTTGTGCCAGGTCATATCAGTAGCAGTGTTAGCAATTTGTAAAGATACACTAAATAGTTGGCAGCTTGACGGATCAGAGGTTGCCACTTCTGCCTCACAGTAAGAGGGTCCTGGGTTAAATCCCTGATTAAGACCTGGGGTCTTTCTGTGGGCAGTTTGCATGTTCTTTTTGTTCTTAAATGGGTTTTCTCCAGGTACCCCGGTTTCCCCAACAGACCAAAACCACTTACGATAGGTCGCCTTCAGGTCCAGGCCTCCAATGCAAAATCTTAATGGGATTTGCCCAGTTAATAAAATAAAATAACTACTTTGTGGAAGTTTTATTAAAATCTCTCCAGTGGTTTATCAGATACTTTATTTTGCTAACAGATAGAAAAGTTGGCCAAAACAAATAATATCAAAATTTTAGGGAGTTAAACTTACCATGTATGTTCTAAAGGCCTCTCAGCTGCTATCACACCAAGTACCTGTTTAACTAAACTGACTGATTTATAGCAAGTTTTTTTGTTTGTTAATCTTGGTTGGCTGTAGTGGTCATTTTAAATTGGGTTGACTTTAAGAGTTATTCMGGTGTAGATCTGATTATTTTTGCTGACAGACAGACACACTTGCAGACACAGACCAAGCCAAAAACATTATTGTCCATCTTTACCTTTCTGTGCCGGTGATAAAAATAAAATAAAATAAAATAAACTGGTAGAAATTTTCCACGGAATGGAAAGTTCAGCTAGGCTTATCACCACAGCTTTATTTCTGGCTGAACTTCCACTCTGACCAGCTAATGAAATGACCTTTAAATAACACAGTGTTGGACTCAAACTCACAGAGGGTCGTCATCATCCGTTAGCAGTAACGCCTTTTCTGTCTCCAGGCTGTCCAACTCCACAAACTGCTTGTTAGCCTCACGGTTATCCAGCTCCTCATCACTAAAGCACAAAAGGAAGGTGTCAGAGCACACAACAACAACAACAAAAAAGCCATTCAGCACTTTTCAGTGAGCTCTAGTTTGAAGAAGAGAAATACTACCTGAACTTAATGAGGTTGGTCCAGATGAGCGGTGGACAGAAGAAAGACACCACGAGTTTGGAGATGGCCGTGTCTGTCGTCATTGCTCCCCACCAGATCTTTGTGAGGAGGGCCTGCGGTGGAAGTGGACTTTAGGGTGATCTAGTTTCACACCTGAGGGCAGACTCAGTTGTGGGAATAAAGTTCACCACAAGGGGGCACCATAGGTCTTATAATAGTTTCACCTCACAGACATGACACTTTAAGAGTTATATAACAAAGAAAGAAGATAAAAAGCAGCCCCCTCCCTCTCTTTCATAAAACAAGTCAACCATTTCCTAACCCCCAGCTGCAGACTGCAGTTTGTCTCGAGGCTTCTTACGTGAAACAGCACCTGATGCTTAGTTATGAACCTGTCCACCCGAACAGAGCAATGAAATATCACCATCTTTTCAAATCATATCCATGCACTGAATCGAGATTAGCAGCCTCCTATCACAAAGATGTTATTATTCCAACTGCATGCCTTAAATAAAAGATGTTAGTTGCTGTGCGCCAACTTTCCCTGCTGACTCTGAATACCAATTAACTCTCACTGATGACTTTCTAATGACAAGGACATGTCTTAGAGGGATGTGTAGTGGGAAAGAAATGTGAATTGATTGAAGTCTCTAATGGCAATCTTTGCTCTGGGAACATTTTTTTAATAAAGAACGGCAGCACAGAGGAGGTCAAAATAAATATCTGTCAATTTTGCTATATTTTTGACCCCTTAAATAGACTGAAAAGTGAAAAATAAATCTGACAAACGGAAACCAAAGGAGCGTGAACGTGTCTCACTGTTACCTGGACTCCATCATGGGCAAAGAAGGATTTAGCATCTGCCTCGGTTGCCAAGTTGAGAACGGTAGATTTGCTCCAGCAGTGCGTTCTTCTCACTAACAAAGCGTAAGCCCTGTCTTCGCTGTTGGAGTAACATTCTCCAAAGACATCTGACACAATGAGAACAGTCAATGCACAGTGCCAACCACTCCATTTTGTTGCGTTCTGAAGATTTTCTACTTTCAGATTAACTTTTTGATTCTTTCACAAAGTTACTGTTTGTGTTTCTCTGACATTGTTGGTTTGAGGTAATTGAAGCTACGCTTGACCTTTGGTTTCAATAACTACATTGTCAGCTCTTATCATCGCACATTTTATGTACTCACCAAGGGCAAACTGCTCATACTTGGCCTCCTTCATACTGCGCGCAGACTCAGCCTCGGATTCCAGGCGCGCCATCTCCTTTAGAATCTTACAGCCTGCCAGCGCTGCTGCAACTGCCTCGGGGCCCTGAAGGATTAAAAGAAAGCTGGATCCAAGAAATGCGTCTGGAAGAGAGCTGTAGTCTAGAATTTTGGAGCATGTCATCTTTTGCATCTCAATTATTGTACAGCGTGCTTTGGCTACAATATCACAGCAGCAGTTGCTCAATAAAGGTGCCATACGTTGACCTTGTATAGCTCCACAGGACTTATAACTTCAAATGGATATTTGAGGTTGTGGTTGCATCGTTTTAACATTTCGGTGTCATCCAAAGTTGAGGAAAATTTGGTCACTTTGGCTTTGATAGTTTCTGCTTTATAGACAACATCTCACTAAGTTTTCCTTCAGTTCCCCAGGGCTTTGGCTTCATTTTATTTCAATGTACTCTACAAATCAAAGTGATATACTGTATTATAGGGGATATCAGGTACTGTAGGTAACTGAAAGAACAGGCAAACATGAAAACATGTATTACTTGCTGATTAAATGATTAAAYGCCCAACATTTCTTGACGAAGTGCTTATTGCCCGCCACCATGCCTGAGATCATCTTATATTTGACATTAAATAGAAATATACTATATATGTATATATATACATTAAAAAGAAATATAATGACATCATGATAAAATTTCATGCAGCACATGATGTCACACTCAAAGAACAGTATTGGTTTAGGGTGACTCTCAGCTACTGCCACACCACTTTTAACCCAATATCTGTATGATTTGTTGATTTATTAACATATTTTTAATTACTGAAGTGGATTAGCTGTGGAAACCATCTTAAATTAGATTAACTTTAAAAGCAAATTAGTTGCAGGGATACAACATATGATTAGTTCCTAAAACTTTTATTGAAATCCATCTTGTGGTTCATTAAATACGTTTGTTAACAGACAAGGTAGACTCCAAACAGTATATGGCAAAATTTTTAACAAAAACAATTAGTGCAGTTCATTAGCAATCAGAATATTGGTTGGGGATTARTCTCAGCTACTATCAGATCAAATTCTATCAAGTTATAACTGATTATGTTTTTTWAATTTTTTATTTGTACCCAGAACCAGATGTAAGCTCTGAGGAGATCAGACTTTGGCAGTGCTGGGTCCTAAATCGTTGAACAACTTGTCTTTGTACATTAGACAGGCCTTCAAACTAGATGCTTTTAAACTGTCACTTACAACAAACTTTAATCTTTGGCTACATCTAAGGGTGATTTTTTTATCTTTTATTGTTGACAGTTTGTTTTTATTGTGCGCCACTTTGTTCCCTTGAAGGAGTCTTAAAGGGCTTTTTAAATAAGTTGGATTGGATTGGATTTTTTAAGTCAATTGTCTGTGGCAGCCATCTTTGATCAGGTTCCCTCCAAAAGTTTATCAGCTAGAAATGAGCTAACATTGATTAACTTCTACAATTTTCATTGAAATTCATTTAGTGGTTCATAAAACATTGTGATTATAGACAAACACATAAACATGTACATGCGTAGACAGAAAGAAAATAGATATTTTTCTGGCTTCTTTTTGACAGTTTCAAGTACCCCGAGTCTGTGACAAAATAGCTGTAAATGTTCAAAGTGCTTGCCTGCAACATAACAATCAGTTTTTTTTTGTTTTTTTTCACATAGTGAGTTAATCACCACATGTAGTTTTATCTCCCTGGTTAGCTGCCCTGAGGTGAAGCACATAAATGTGTCTCACCTTTATTGTGYGATCTTTTCTGACTTTGTGTCACTTTTGGTCTTGAGGGCAGCATCAGAGGAATATTAGACAYAGCATGTCTGGTGGTATTTGCATTTGCTCCATATAATAAAAGAAAATGCGCCTCTGTGATTTCACTTTTTTTAATAGTTTCAAGAATGTAATTGTAAAAAATAAGTATTAAAATCATTAACATCACACCATGGAGAAAGATGATAAAAATAACGTTTCATTTGATACTGTCATGTTTCTTGAAAAGTAATGTTTTAACAATTTTTTTAGGAGACAGGAAGAACTGCGCTTATGGGAGCTGACATTCCTCAGGATTCTCTTTGTATACAAATAAAACTTTGTAATTCAGAATATGTATTTGACACAAAGTCATGTTCAACTGTCAGCAGATGTGATCCATTTAATAAGTCAAGTACAGTTGCACATGTCAAGTGTGTAAATAATGTCAGAGAATAATGAAGTGGATTATTTTACATTTGATGAAGCAATCTATGGGAACCAAATCCTTTTTTTTTTTGTTTCAAAATGCAAAAAAAAAAAAGTCTATATTATTTGTGGGCTATAATGTGTTTTTTGGTTTCATTAATGTGACAGCAGTTTGGACTACCTGTTAAATACTGTATATGTGCTTTTTGTAGAACAAGTCAGTTTGTGAGTATAAGTGTTCTGAGGTCTTCAGTGAGAGAGCGATGCTTCAAATAATCAAATTACGAATGCTGCGATCCGGGCCGCAGTGAGAGTGGCAAAGAGATTTGCAGTGGGGGTGTGCACATGCTGCATGCGATTACCATCATTTCAGACAATGTTTGAAATAAGAAGCAAAGCAGTAGCACATAAGTRTGACCACTGTTGAGATTAGAATAATTTGTTGCTTTAGTTCAGGAAAGGGCAGCAAAGAAAAGAGTGTTGGGGGTGGGGGTTGGGGGNGCTGAAAAGACTGAAAAAAACCACTGTCATCACTGATTGCTGTCGTTTAAACTATTCATAAAACATCAGTCTAATGTCAGGATATGCTTCTCATTAAATTCATTGGGAACGTTAGATATGGTTGCCCTATCTCACCATGGGGTGACTGCCTCAGCAGGCGGCATGACCTTCATTTTAGCAATGTTCTTTGAGATAAGATTGCTTTTTAGCTCACCTTGTTGCACGGCCTTTTATGTAGATGACATTTTCATACGGCAGGACTGACCTACGTCTGCACTGTGCCGCCCAGCCTACATCGCTCTTGTTACTCTCCATTTAAAGTTATGTTGTCCGTGTGCGATTCACAGCTCACTTCAGCTTGATTTGAATAGATCGTTTTTCTCTCCGTGGCCAGATGCTTTTCGGCTGCCACAGACTGAACTGCACAGAGCTGATTTAGTACACACCGGAGCTGAACTGAGCAAAGAAGCCGAACAAGACTGACCATGGCCCAAAAGTAGTTAGCCATCTGCTGCCGGTTCTGAAGGACGGCCCAGAGGAAGAGATCTCGCCAAGGATGTTCACAGCGCTCCTCCAGCTCGGGCAGGTTCTTCTGGCTGTGGAACAGTCGGCCCTTCGCTGGCTTCTCCTGAAGCGCACAGACAGTACACTGGATGTATTAAACATGTATCATAAATGGGGCAGCTGCACACAGTTTACTCAACATTCAATGCCTGCATGAGTCACGGAGTTTATGGAACACGTTACAGCAAAATCAATTACCGCCACCGCCAAGGAGGTCTTTTTATGTTCCATTGTCTGTATGTCATCGTGGATGTAATGGTGTTTCAATTTATCAAAAACAAAAAGAGTCTTTTTAACTAATTGCCTTTTGAAATAGAATAATAAACTATTAAAACTGTCAAAGAGCATAGAGGCAAATATTCAAAATGAGCATATTTTTGACAAACCAGCAGTTTTAGATTTGGTTTCATGAAAATCAATCTTATTGTCATGCTCCAGTGATGGCGAGAACAAGGGATATGATTGAACGTGGAATGAGGTGGAATCATCCGAGAACTGTGATAACTTTATTAGTTAAATTGTATTCTTTTTCCCCACAACTGCTGAACGAGTTACCATAAAAGTCACAATCAAAGATTGACTTTCCTCCAGGAAAAGAGGATCCTAAGCTCCCTATATTACCTGCTTCATCATCATTGGCACTTTTAGCAGTGTCAAATGATAGTCTGAGAGGGCTAGAAGTAAAAATTATTCATGAAAACCACAGGGCAAACACAAACTGTGACAAGGGGACACAATTAGATGTTTAACGTGGATAATAAAAGGCTGAGAAAGAAACTTATTGTCGAACTGAAAAAATGAGAATTATTTACTTGATTTGACATATATGTTGATATATATTACTCACTGTGGGAATCTTTTGGTAGAAGCCTTTACAAGAGTCATGCAGAAAGTCTTTCAGCACTTTGGCCACCTCGAAGAGGGTGAAGCGAGGTTTGCCTTGCTCAGGTGGATGGTGTCCGGGCGGACCAGGCGTTCTGGCTGCTCCCAGGAGGAGCTGCTTCTCTTCATACTTCTTCAGCAGCAGGTTGTGAAAGAGGCTCTTCTCTGAGACGGACCAGTACAGCTCCTGCAGACGGCCGTAGGTGAGGAACTCGCCCAGGTTCACGCCGTTGTCCACGAAGAGGCGCACAAAGTCTGGTTTGTCATTGACGAGCGCATCCATCATCACTTCTTCGAGATCACAAGCCTGCGCCAATGGTGAGGTTCAGCTGCAGTCATTCCCAGCCTTTTACAGCCAATCCTATTTATATTCCTTTCACTAACAAGCCTAGCAAATTCTTACCATGTCTAATGAGCCACACTTTGTGTCCCACCACTGTCAAATGTTGACRTGTTGAAACTTCCATGAAAAATAAATTTACAGCCATCTTAACTGCACAGCTTGGTGAAGAGACACATTTCCCATGAACATTTTGCGATTTTTATGGTTCTGTTAGAATGATCAGTGTGGCGGATCTATTGCTTCAAAGCTGACATAAAGTGATTATTTGTGATAAATGGCAAATGTTACAGGGGTAACATGTAAAAATTAAAGGGTTAGCAAAACATGGAATGCATATTGCCCACCAAGTTTCAGGGCTGAAGTTTAAACTAAGATCATCTTAGACAGAATGCAGTGCTAGCAATTTTGGTCAAACCTTGTAAAACAACAATTTGGTGCAAAGTTTTGTGAAATTGCAAGATCTTGTGAGATCTGTTAGTGCTTAGAGTATGTGTTGAGGATGACACTCAGGTATTACAATATCAGATTTTGACCCAATATCTGTAAATTTGACTAAGTTGTGGCTGTTTATTTGTTGGCTAATATCAATAGGCTGTGGTGACCATTTCAGTTGTAGATGCACATACAAGGATTTCTTTCTGCAAATTTCATTAAATCACATCATAGTTCATGAGATATTTTACTAAAGGACAGAGTTGACGACACACACCAAAAATACCAGTGTTAGTTTAACACCCACAGTGTTAATTTCAACACCAACAAAGTGTCTATACTATGTGTCCACACTTGCTGGTGTTAAAATAACATTTGTGAAAGTGTTAAATTTTAACACCCWTTTTTTTTTTGTTAATTTAACCCCAACCTGTGTTTAATATTCAACAATACTGGGTGTCACATTAACATAAAATTAGTGTTAGTGTTAAAATATAGTGTTAAGTGTAACACCAGCCAGTGTTTAATATTCAACAATACTGGGTGTCTTATTAACATTTTAACAGTGTTAAAATAAAGTGTTAAAAGTAACACCAATGCATTTTTATTAACAAAGGAAATTATGGTGTTAAAAGGACACAACAAGGCATCAATACACCATATATTTGAGAGTGTAAATATAACACTCAGAGGTAATATTAAACTCTTTGTAGTGTTACATTAACACTACTCAGTAGTTAGTAGAAAAATATAATGGTCGATTTTTGGCCAGTAACATAAACTTGAAGTTGAACAACTTAATAAAACTGACCAAGAAAACTAACCAGAACAACTAATTTTTACTCTCATGAACWTCTTTAATRGTCWMAAACATGCAAAAACATAATCTCTGCAAGATTTMTCAGCAAGGAATGCTGGGTAAATACTGGTCTRTCTGACAKGAGGTGGAAGAGGGCKRGGCTTTTCYGAATAYTGCTTTCAACACTGTATGGTGCCATATAACAACACTGTTAAGTGTTAYRTRAGACTTAACTGTGGGCGGAGCTTATTTAACACTGTCCAGTGTTGAGATAACATTGAGGAAATCAACACTGTGAATTAACACCAACACTGGGTGTCAGGTTACTCAAAAWGTGTTAAAATAACCCTAGTGGGTGTTAAATCAACACCCAAAAGTTTAACACTGAAATTTTAACACTCCTCAATGCTTAAAGGGGTGGGTGGGGTATTATRCAAAAACAACTTTTTTGAGCTTTGTAATCATCTCGTTCCTTCATTAAAAACATACCCAGAGTGTTGCTTTGACTCATTCATGAACGTCTGAGAAATCCTTGAATCTCCTGTGATAACCATTTAGGGTTGCCTAAACACTTGCTGGTAAAAAAAAAAACACTGCCTATTTTTTACCTAGAACTTCCCTGGAGCTCAGTATGTCCACAGAGAACCCCTCCCCCAAAGCACTGTTTTGATGATGTGCTGAACTGAGAGTGTCTGAAATGGTAGGAGGTGAGACCAATTCCAAGACATTTAAGATMGGCTATGATRCAAAATCAAATTTATTTTTGATACATACAGCATTTTCATARCAACTGAAGGTAACATAYTTGATTGTGGTATAAAACTGAACTATGTGCCTGGGAAATACATGATACCCCACTTCATTTARCATTTAGAATATGATAACTTTTGGCTTTGACCACACCAAATTTTAGCTCAGTATCTGCAAAATGCCYGTGTTAGTTATTTTAGTATTTTCYAAGATCACTTGGCTGCGACCACCATCTTGAATTGGTTTGACACCAAATGGTAATCAAATCTAAATGTGCATCCAATAATCACTTTRCGATGGTCTAATCAAGGTTTGTCTAGTTGTTCAGGACATATTTTGCTAACAGACAAGTAAACAAACACAGACACACATATACAAACATGGGCAAGAACAGGATTGCCTTCTTGCCTTTGACGGAGTAACTGCACTAAAAATGAAAAATAAAGAGTATTTGCCGGAATATATTAGCATTAGTGGTGAACGTTTGGCTCAGTGCAAGCTCCCTATATCATGTATGTCAATGAATACAGCTCGAGGCAGGTAAAAACCTTGATGTCATTATTTGAAATGTGCTAAACTCAAACGTRTTTGTTGTTCAAAAAGCAGTAATCGGCCTTATTGTAACACAAGACTGGATTAGAAGTAAACTGCCAGAGCTTGTTCAGCCTCTAATCAGTTAATTATTATACATATTCACCCACCTTCCACTCCACATCTCCRTTAAAGATGTCACTTTTGGCAATGTCCACTCTGTTCCACGCCACAGCCAGCTTCAGCTCATCCAAGAAATCTTGAGCTTCCTGACTTTGGCTTTTACAAGCTAATGAACACACAGGCACGTAAAATAACAAAAAGTGTACAGCCTATCAAATTCTCAAAATGTCACGGCTCTGTGTCAAATCAAGAAACCTGCAATTGTACAGCTACAGAGAATTTCATGTTTTTGAAAACAAATTCTGACAGGAAGTACTTTACCTTTGACGAGAGCTTTGAGAATGACAGTATCCAGTTCGGAGCTTTCCTGCTCTGGGTCATGGACAGTGAGGAGATGCCCATGATCAAGTATCTTCTGGATCTGATGGGCAGGTAACAATAGCAATATGTATTCTTTAATTAGTATTGCATTATTTTATGCTAAAACAAAACATCAGGTGTGTTCAATCCCACCCTCATCTTACATTTCTGTAAAGTACAACCCTGATTCTTGAAGTTGAGATTTTGTTTAAAATGCAAATAAAAACCTAATGAAACAATCAAGTTCATGAACTGAACAAAGCAAACATATTAAACACGTAAACTAAAAAAAAGGTAATGTTTCACAAAAGGTTTTTTTATGCTAGCATCACATGTCCACTAACATGTTACAAGGGATAATTAAGATTTTGTGAGTAAGTGGTAAAAATAAGAAACAACTAGAGGAGATTTTACAACTATTTCGATTTTTTTGGCAACAGGTCAGTAAGAGGTCTGGGTTTAAAAAAGAGCTTTCCAGAGATTGAATCTCTAAGAAGATGGGAAGAGGTTACCAATCTGAAAAAAAAATACTTTCAAAAATTTATGGAACATTGGGAACCCTTTAAACCTCCCATCCTCTTCAGATCCTAAAATCAAAGATAATTCAAGAATCTGAAGATTCTTTGTGCATAAAGGACAAAACCMAAAGTCGATTTTAATGCCCTTGATTTTTAGGCACTATGTTAAAATCTATGATTCTGTTCTGAACATCACTGCTTGGGCTGAGGAACTCTTCCATAGATCAATTGTCTGTAAACACAGTTCACCATGCCATCTACAAATGCTGGTTCAAGCTCTATAATGCAAAGGGAAAAGCAGTATATGAACACCATCCACAAATGCTACTATCTCCTCCGAGTCAAAACTCATTTTAAATGCCTGAGGCAAGGTGGAAAAGTTTTCCATGGTCAGACAAATGGAAATTTGAGAAACYTTTTGGAAATCATGGGTCCTCTATGTTAAAGACCACCTATATGATATCACTGCACACTTTGAAAAGCTTGCCTATCTGATGGTTTAGGGGTTTKGGGTTTCTATGGCATGGGCAGCTTACACAGCTGGAAAGAAACCATCAAATAAACAGAAACTACTTTCTTCCAGATGATGTCTTGTTTTAGGGAAGGCTTTGCATATCTCAGCAAGACAATGTTAAACCTTATACTGCACATCAGCAAAGCTTTGTAATAGAATGGTCTGGGTCATGAACTGGCCCACCTGAAGTCCAGACCTTTCATATAGCAAGGTGGATCTGGGACTTAGGAGCAGTAAGGAAAAACAATGGGACATAATTCCCCTCCAAAACTGCCTGCAGCTGATTTYCTTGGTTCCTAAACGTTTTCAGACAGTTTTTAAAGGCCCTGTTACATTTTAGACAATTTGTGAAAACATTGTCCAACGTTGATGATGTCAACTTTGAACATGGAATAAAAACAATTAACTGGAAGCCTTACATGCAATGCTAATGATTAGAAAAAACCAAATATATAACCTATAAGAGTTATTTAGTAATAAAACACTTTCCTCAGTTGGCATAAGTTGTCTAAAATGTTATAGGGTCTTTAAAAGAAGGTGAGATGCGTCACAGAGGTAAACATGAACCTGTCTCCAGTTTTCAGATGTGTTGCTGCCATACATTTTGAAATTATCCTGTTTAGAAAAATTAAAATCCCAACCAATTCAACACAAATTTTCAAAGAAAAGATAAAACAAAATCCAACATAGCTCATCTCACTATCTTCCCCAATGTGTCCTATTTTCCTGCCTTGACAAGTGCTTGTCTTTGTATGCCCCCCACCCCCACTGTGCACATGGCTCTCACCAGCTTGACCCAGTTACTGATGTCTGTGCTGTGGTGGGCATTGGGAAAGGTGTCCAGCAGGAGCTCTTGGACACTGTCTGTGTCCCAGCAGCCTCTCTCCATCAGCGTGACGAGGATGTCAGCCACGCCTCCAGAGCCTGCCAGAATCAGCCACGGCGTGRAATTTCCAATCCCTTTGCACATTCTCTGGAGCAAGAAGTACATTTATCAACACCAGGATCGATCAGCTAACGTGGTAGATTTTGAATTCTTCACTTATCATCATGTTTGCACAAATAAACTGCTGACTTGCTCAGACGTTTGGGCAGAAAAAGATTAGTTTTGTGATAAAGTGTGTGCCCTCAGTCCGACTTTGGCCTGCTGTGTTACGGGCCATTTTGGGAGAATGATTCTCAAGCCTCAGCTAGTCTTTTCAGACTCATATGATGAGTTGAATAATGGACACCAACCCCCCCCCCCACCCCCCGATATTTGGCATTTTGAGGCACAGGGGTATGATAATGCTTTTGCTTGTGTTTGTGTGTGTGTTTCTGTCATTAAACTATTTCGTGAACCACTAAATGGATTTAAATGAAGCAAAATCACTAGGTGTACATTTAAAACTGAAAAACCTTTAAAATCACATTGTTTAATGAAGCCTGATACAGCCAAAAGACCTCTAAAAAAACACAAAAACACTGGTAACTCAGTCAATTTTACAGATATTTTTGGACAGTTTGGGGTGGCTGCGGCTAAATCTGATCTCCAATAATTATTAAGAGTACATTAACACTTTAAAAATATAACTGTCTGTCCATTAGCAAAACATCTCATAAAATACAGGCAGAATTCTTTGAGCAAATCCAATCCAAGACTAACACTAGAAAACTCACAAAAAAAGCTCTAATTCTTTCAGTTTTACAGACGTTTGCTAAAATGTGGTGTTTTAGTTTGTGGTAGTCACTGACACAGTATATACACTGATACAGTACTTGGAACATCTCATCAGTGGTGGGCAGCACTAAACTAAAAGTTAGTTCCACTAGCCCTAAAACACTAACTCAAATATGTAGGTCCCCTAATTCTAAAGCATTAATGCACTGAAAGTTTTGGCAAAAGCTAATTCTAAAGCACTAAAATAACCCATCCACCAATGAACATTCTTCAACAGACAACATGAGTCACATATTGTCATGTTGCTCTCTTAAAACTTATCATTGACATCCCACAGTCATATTTGAGTTTATATGTTATCAATATATTGTCACGTAGTGGATAAGTGACACACATATGAACAAAATGTGTGACAACTTTCACCGTCAGCTGTTAACTTTAACGTTATTTAATAGACCTCAGTTAGTGCTTCTAAATTTAGAATATAAATTTAGCAAGTGCTAATCCACTGATAAGTTTTAAAATTAGTTTTTAAAGTGAGTGCTTTAGTGCTTTAGGGGAACTGTACCCACCACTGCATCTCATACCACATGAGATTGTGCATAAATGCTTTTTTTTTTTTTTTTTTTTCGTCAAGGTTTGGCCAAAATGACTAGAACTTTTATTACAAATATAATATTATCCTGGTCAAAAACTTTGTCCTAAGAGGTAACAAATTAAGCATTGTTTCAAGAGTTCTAGGCTTTATTTATTTATTTTTATTTATTTATAGATCTGAATAGCCAAAAAAAAAAAAAAAAAGAGGAAAAAAGGTACCTTTAGGATTCTGGGCTCCCCATGGACCAAGAGACAGAGAACAGGGATCTCAAAACTTCCGGTTCCTGTAAGCATGGAGATGAACACATCATATTTCCTAGTTTTGATGTCAGTTTATTGTGTGACTGGGGAATAGGCTGCACTGAGCAGTTTTTGTTGAAGCCAAGGTGTGATTTTATTTTTCTTCCTTCCTACTGAAGACATCAAATAATTCAGTTCATCAATTTTCCATCATGAAGTGTAAAATATTTATAAAAATAAGCAGCATCAAGGTTTCCTGTTAATGATCCCGCAGCTTGTCGTATTGATTTTGTGACAACTTTATAAGYCCTGGCTTCCTGGTAATAGACCAATATATTTATTGGTGCATAAAATGGGAAGGTTGCATCCAGTCAGACATGCCAGCTGGCACTAAAATCTCATACTACATATGCTCTGTATTAGACAGACAGAAAACACTGAAGGCTTCTCCTAAAATATTTGAAAAGTATAAGTATTGTTTTTTTCTGTCTGAGCCTTAATTTTAACCAGATTAGTAAAACAAAAATAGTTTTTTGTTAAGTTCTAGTTTACAATGTCAGCATGTAATTAACACGATCTGTCAAGCTTGATTTTAAGAAACAGTTGGCTGTTTTACAGCTGTCCTTAAATCAGGCTGTTTTTAAATGCAGTGTGTGCAATGATGCAGCAAATTGTGTTTTTCAAAAGTTTTTTGTGTTATGATCCATGTTTCAGCACTAAAATATATACAGAGTCCTAATTGTTTTTGTTGCAGCTCTTCTATGACATTTGTTCTCCATGCAGTAAAACAGACGTCAGGTTAAATGGTTTAAATTGAAAACTTAGCTCAACTGGCTGACTTTTTTTTATTATTATTATTTTTTACAAAGTTGGGGCTTTTGACTTTATAGAAAGTCAAAAAAGTCATAAAAATGAAGCATGGCTACTTTTAAGTTATGCATATTTCAAGCTGTCTCATCTATTATGGCCCATCACAATAAAATCTTTAATGTATTTATAATTCACCACCAGCTAAGCCATCGTTCTCAGACTGAATGTTCTCTACTTTTTTATATTTAACTGTTAAACTGACTTTCACTTCACATTAGTTAAATTTAATGTCAAATTTTAACTTTTTATCAAGTAATATTAAAATGTGGCGTTCTTATCGCTTCGAATAAAATATTCTCACTATGTCACTGGGTCCGAGCAATGTCCTGGGTGATTTTACCTCCGTAACCCGTGCGCTGAAGGGAAATGTGTTTGAGTAGTTTCACCCTCATTTCACTGGTGGCTCCTGGTCTGTTGGGATCCTCCTCCACGAGCACAAAGTGAGAGTGGTGGCTGTCCAGGGAATACACTGAACCGTGGGGCAGGTCCTGCGGCTTGTAGGCTGCAGGCTCATCCACCTAATGAACGCGGGCGTGAAGGACGGAGGACAGCACAAACACATTAACACTGCTCAGAGATGATGCAGCTGCCTTTAGTGGCCGTCTATTGTCTGTGTGTGAACAGAAACCTTGGCAGTGAGCAGCGCCTCTCGGTTGTGAATCATGTTCCAGGGTGCGATGCCAATGGCCACTACTCGAACTTTAGAGGAGGTGCTGGCCAAGGAGTGATCTCTCACTGCCTGGCCCAAGTGTTTGGTGATGCCAAAACGAAGGCCATTAGTCAAAATCCATGCCCCTGGAGAGCAGAGAGGCAGATGTATTTCAGGATGTGTGTGTGTGTATGTGTGTGTGTGTGTATGTGTGTGTGTGTGTGTGTGTGTGTGTGTGTGTGTGTGTGTGTGTGTGTGTGTGTGTGTGTGT